TCTGAAGGGCATCTTCTTGATGAGTGATGTGGGAGGGCCCAGCCCACTGTGGGTGGTGCCACCCTTGGGCAGGTGGGCCTGTGTTGCATAAGAAAGCAGGTTGAGCAGGGGCCAGGGGAGCAAGCCAGTAAGCAGCATTCCTCTCTGGCCTGTGCTCCAGCTCCTGCCTCCAGGTTCCTGCCCTGAGTTCCTACCTTGGGCTCCTGGATGAACTGTGACCTGGGATATGTAAGACAAATAAACCCTTTCCTTCCCCAGTTGGTAGTGGTCAGAGTATTTTGTCACAGTGATGGAGAAACAAACTAGGACATAAGGGGATAGACGATGCTGCAGCCTCCTTCCTGTCACTTGCTGTCAAATATGGGAATTCTGTACCCTCCCCAATAACTCATTCCCCAGAATTTAAAGATTTTTGAGGGGTTAAAAACAAAACTAAAGATCTATAAGACCTATCTTAATGTTTAGATGTTCATAAATATTGGAGCCCTGTGATGCTTTATCAAAGACTAGGTTCAACTTACAGGCCCAGAATCTGTATCTTTAGATAAAATAATAAGCTGATGTGAACTTCAGCTTGGAAAGCAGCAACTTTGGACAATATGAATTTGCCTTCAAGTACTTTTAATATGAAGCCTATAATGGGGAAAGTTCATCAAGGTAGAGTCACTTGCCATTGAAGCATCGTGGTGGCCTGGTCCAACTCTACCACCTACCCTAGATAAGGAGCAGCTGGAGAGCATGACTCAGTTGCCACCTCTGCTGGGGGCAAGGGAAGCATTGCTCTGTCCCGCTCTATGCTGGGACAGAGGCACTCTGAAAAAGATCTCAGGTGCATGGACAGAGTGAGCAGTATTGTCATGGGCAAATGGGCCCAGAAGCAGTCACTGTGCCTATCTTCTGAACAATTCTTTACTGAAATGCTTACATTCTAATTTGAATCATCACAGTTTACAAATGCTTAGACTAGGTGGGGGCCTTCACTCAGGTACCCTAGTCAAAAATAGAAGCAACAAAGAGGAAATTTCTGCAGCCCATAGAGAACTGGTCCATGGCTGGGTGAATGGCTGGGCAGAGTAAGACACAGTATTGCTTTTAAGGAGCTCTCAACACAGATGCCCTGAAACTTATTTTTAAACTTAACCATATCGGAAACTTTGACATTCTCCCTAAGGTTGAAAAGAGTTATTGGACCATGACATGCAAGTACTTGATGAATTTCTCCTGCTTTTTAAAAGTTTTAACTCAATTTTGAGCTATTTAACCCCAAATGAGCTAAACCAGCTAGCAATATTTCTGAGGCACTATAACCTCCAGATCATTTTGAACACAAGATTTTTTTCCTCTTTCATAAATTGGGTGTCTTTTTTTGCTAAGGTCGTCTTTCCAAAAGATCTTCCTACTCAATCCTATGACATTATCAAAGAAAACTCCATAGTAAACGTTAACGAATAAAAACTCTTGAAGAAGTGAATCATATAGAAAGAAAAAATAATTCCGATGTAGTTCTATGTCCCTGAGTTACAAGAAGAGGGATTTGTTCACACAGAAAAGTTACCTTTTTGTTCCCAATTGGTTTAGCTACAAATGTAGAAAAAGCCATACTAAGAAGTTTCTCAGTGCCAGTGAACATGTCCTGTACTTTAACCTTGATACTGATCTAAAGGAAAGAAAAATAAACTGTCAGTCATCCAGATAACAGATTTAGATACAGCATTCAAAATTCAGTTATATACTTCTCCAGCCTTGTCTTTTGGTTTTTAAATCCACATTTTAACTTATTTTTAAGTGATACCACTGTTTAGATGATATTCTATAAAATATTACAAATGAAATTTTCTGACTACAGAGAATATGCACTTGCAATGAGAAATTTGTATCTAACTATCTAGAATAAATGTTACCAGTCTCATTATCCAACAGTAATACTTATTTACTTTTAGATGAATTTTCTTCCAGTTTACACATATGTAATATTCCATATATTTGATATGATATGTTTTATGAATATCCATGTGAAAAGTACATAAGTGTGTATATACACCATAAAACTATCATGTTGCTTTTATAGTTTTATAGTCTAATTAAAAAAATTCTCATGTTATAATAAGTATTTTTCAATACCATTGTTAGTAAACATATTTTTGAAAACAAGATTTAGCCTATCAGTAAAAGGCACTATAACTATTTTTAACCTTTAGTCTCTATGTTTGTTTTTTATTTTTTGTCTTTTTGAAGCAGGGTTTCCTTGTAGCCCCAGCTGTCCTGGAACTCACTATGTAGACCAGGCTGGCCTTAAACTCACAGAGATCTGCCTGCCTCTGCCTCCCAAGTGCTGGGACTACAGGCATGCGCCACCACGCCTGGCTTAGTCTCTATGTTTTATAACCAAGATAGCACTGATGAAATTTATCTGTAACTTAGTTTCCTTGTTTTGCTTTTCAGGAGCAGTAAGCTGATAGGTGACTGAGACATTTTGTGAAGACCCTATAGTGGGTGGGATTCGCCTGTGTGAAGTGTCCTGATGCTGGCTCGCCCTGGAGAAAAAGTCTTTAGATCTGGACTAATAAACATTTTCCTCATACCTCAGATAAATAATATTACATTCTTGAAATAATGGGTAACCTCAGGCATGTCAGTTCAGCACTTAGTAATCAATGATAAAGTACATCTATTTCTATATCTTCACCAAGATCATCATGTACAAAAATAATCAATAGTCCATGACTCACTTTAAGTCACTTAAAAACAGAAATTTGTATTTACATGGTAAATCTTAAGTTAACTGAATGTTGATTAACCAAATATAAACCAGTTTTTACCTATCTACAGTCAACTCTCACCCATATAGATTTCCACATTTGAGAAACAGACAAGGAAAAATAAAACATCAAACAGTAAAAATACAGCTACAACTCTGGGGTATTTAAAACAAATTTGGAATACTGTCTGCTATTAGGACAGTTGACTGAGGTCTGCACGGTGAACAAATATTTTGGAGACATGTGGCATGGGCAATTTACTATGTCATGAGAGAGAAGTAAGATTGGAATTAGATCCTCTGTAAAGAACTGGAAATGTATACAAGGTATAGGAAGCAACTATTTTCATGTATAGGGAAACAAAGACACAGGGCTATGCGCCCCCTGGACAGGGAAACAAATGAGAGGAAATTTGTGTTTCATCTCAGTGGGAAGGTAATTCCTACGTAACTGTCAGGGAAGGAGAACCTAATTTTGTTGAGTTGAAGAAGCAGAAATCAAACAGATCAAGAGAGCTGGATTTTTGAGGGGCAGAGGACCAGAGAAGAGAAAATACATAGAAAGAATTCTGGAAAATTTCCAGAAAATGCATGGGATCTCCGCAAGTCTTTGGGTTGATGTCAGTTTGAGCACACACAGTGTAAATCTCACAAAGCTAGACCTGAGTAGATTCTGAGGAACAGCCATCTACTGGGGAGCTATGGAGTGAGTATTTTCTGGATTCTCACACTGCTGGGAATATTCTGACTTTTCTCAGGGCAGACCGCACCAAATACAATACATTCATAGAGCCTAGAGAGGATTCCAATTTAGAAGAGAATTGTCTCTGGAAACTAGTCAGTCATGAGACCAGTTTCCATTGTAGGGGAAAAGAGGCAAGGAGATGGAGACACAGAGTTTGAGTAATAGTAGAGTCAGAATAAATAAGAAATAGAATCCATATCTTGCAAAGAACTAAAAGAGTACTCTTCCCCTTTTGACATTTATTTTGCAGGTATCCCCCTATGTACAATAGTGTATGCTAGCACACTGAACTTGAGAAGCAGGATTGAGTGGGAAACACCAGCTCCTTAGGATTTACCTGTGAGTCTGACTACAGATTTAAGGGCCTTCTGAAATTCAGAATTTTATCATCTACAAGCATTATTCTAGGACTCCTCTTTGTGCTCTGTAAGAAATGAAGAGATGAGTTCCTACAGGCAGACAGACCTAAGACAAAGGTGCCTCTTACCTCCATGCTTGTGCTGAACGCTCTAGTAACTTTTGCTCTGATGGTAACAATTTGCCCAATTCTATTTAAAAAAAGAAAGAGAGGTCTCAGTAATCCCAGAACATTTCATTTCAGACTCAAAGATTTATTAGACATATGTGCCATAAAGAAGTTCCATCTCAACATGCTGATAATATTCATGCATGGGAAACTCAGGTTAATGCTAATGGAAAAGAGAGGCCTTCAGGACAGATATTGATCATTGTAAACCATGCTTATGATGTTAACAGACTCCCAGATGCTTTTATTTAACAGGAAAAGAGGTTTTGCAAGGATAGTGTCTGAGGTGACCCTAAATCTGCAGTAGATGCTTTTTGCATATCACAGTTGTTTCAGACAAACACATAGAAAAAACCTGTATCACTGATATTTACTTTTAATTGTTAGCTAGTAAATAAATGGAAAAACGAGCATTCAAAGAAGCCAGCGAGGTGGGTACATGTGGGCCTGCAAGGTTGCCATGCAATTCATTCACTCTTCACTACTATTAGAACTCTAAAAACGTTTGAGGTCAAGTGCTTTGATCACTCCTGATTCCTTCGTCTTGGTGGAAGTTAACAGCCTGCCAGATGTGAGTTCCTTTGATTTTTCCCCTCTTGACTTCATTTGAGCCTCTTTTCACTGCCCCATTCCTCATTCTTCTGTTTTAGAGGAAGAAAGATCTGCTTAAGATGCCACCGTCTTGATCTGTGACTCAGCCCTGTCCCCATCATCTCGCCTGCTCTCTGCCTGCTTTGTCAGTTCTTCCTCTCTTGACCTTCAACCTCTGCTTTACCTGACTCTTTCAGGCTATGAAAATACCCAAGCTTCTCCTTCTAAAATCCTTCCTTTCAATCTTATTTTATTTCAAGATTTTTTTCTTCTTTGTATATTCAAATTTCATAGAAAAGTCACTGATTTTTCTAACTATGTTGTTCACAGACTTATAACTAGTCATGGCATTGAGCTAAGGTGGAAGGGAAAGCGAAGAATTGTGGGGACCTAAAGGCCCCACCTTGCAGAAGTCCGAGAGGAAGTTACTGGGGCACAGCCTGACTTGCTTTGAAAGTCTGAAGAATACTTCCGCACTGCTGAGGAGTGCAGGATCAACGGCTGACCATCCTTAAGATACACCCTGGGGTGGGGGGGATTTCCAGGTTCCTTTATAAGCTCTGTAACACCTGCAATAAATGAGTCCCTGCTTGACTAGGCTCCCTGTTGTGCCTAAGTGTTCCCGGCAATGGGGGTGGTGTGGGCTGGCGAACGGTGGGCTGGCGAATGGTGTGCTTACTCATCCCCAATCATCACTGCTCGGGGGTCACTGGCTTGAACCCTCGGCAAAGAATCAGACAGTGGTGTTAATTTCAGGAAGTCACGTCTTTATTTGGGGTACAGGTGGTATATAAACACATGTCTAAAAGAATATAAAAGAATTACTGACAATTCACTGATAACAAACCCTGTTATTAAATGCAGTACTGAATCTCACTGTGGCCCTCCTAGTAACAACAACCACTCTATATGAATGCTGTAGATATACCAGGTAGCATGTTAAAGGCTTTGTATTTTGTCTAATGGCAGGTCACTCACTAAGCAATGACCCTTGAGATTAACATGATAATTTCCATTTTACAACCAACAAGAATTGGGCTTAAAAGGTGATATAGTCAGCAATTGGCTGGGCCAGAGTTCAAACTCCGGTTTTATCTGGGTCCAAAGCCCTGGAGACATGGCCCTACTTAAGCTCCTGGGAAGGATAGCAATTAATTCTACTTTATTCCCAGTAGAGAGCTTGTTTAGATATATTAAGGATAGTCTATAAGGAAATTGACTGGGTTTACCTGGAAGTGTGACACATCTGTTCAATGTCTTTGTGCGCATGTGGCTGCCTTATCTACTGTACCTGTCATAATCTGTAATGTATCAGGCAAAACAACAACAACAACAACAACAACAAAACAAAACAAAACCAAAAACCTGAAAGTAAAGGAGGGAATTTAATATGTACGTACAGATGTCTATTTAAGCAATTAATTCCAATGTTAGAAATTTGAGCATATTTGTATTTTTAGTACACTTGCCTTAATGTTTAACACAATTTATCTAACCTAGAAAGTGATAAAAGCCACACAGCCTTCCCAGAGAGGATTTAGGTAATGTCTAATAAAATGACATATACATTCTGACTAAGCAGATCTGTTTCTAAGAATATATCCCTCCAAAACACTGGCAAAAATATGAACACACAATTGTATAAACCCATATATTGAAGCATTATCTATAGTAACAAAGCAATTCAGTGCTTAATGATGAAGACCAGTTGAATAACTAGGGATCTATGCAATGAGCTCTAAGGTAGCCATTGAAAGGAGTGATGAACAGCTGTAGAGTGATTTCATAGATGGCATCTTACATGGGAACGGTGGTTATAGGTTTCTAATAGAGTAGGATGTTGTTTTGAGACAGGGTCTCCCTGTTGCCCCAGCTAGCCTGGAACTGGCTGTGTAGACCAGGCTGGCCTGGATCTCACAGAGATCCTCTTGCTTCTGTCTTCTGAGTACCCGGATTGAAGGCACCACCAAGCCCGGCTTTGGAATTTATTTTTTAAAAGAATATGAATATATATAAATATTTGCTTACATTTAACAAGTAAAAGGGTAATTATAAGATAAACAAGTTAGATTCTTACAGAGAGAGGGGGAGCCTGGGTAGCAGCTAGAGAGGAACTAAGTTTCCCAGAGTCAGATGTGTCTGTTCTCTAGATTTGAGCCTAGTGCTTGCAAATGTTTTAAATTATAAAAATAAATGAATAAAAATTAAAAATGCAATCCTAAAATACAATTAGCAAATGAACTAGGCTAATGTGCAAATTGGTAGTTTGACCATGTAGAAAAGAATTCGTTTTTTTTTTTTTGAGACAGGGTCTCCCTATGGCCCCAGCTGTCCTGGAACTCACTATGTAGACCAGGCTGGCTTTGAACTCAGAGATCTGCCTGCCTCTGCCTCCCAAGTGCAGGGATTAAAGGTGTGCACCACCACACCCGGTGAGAATTCTTTTTTTTATTATTTTTTATTTTATGTTTATGATTGTTATGCCTCCATATGTGTAAGTGCACCCATGTTGTGCAGTGCCCATGGAGGAAAGAAGAGGGCATTGGATCCCCTGGCACTGGAGTTATGGATGGTTATTAGCCACCATGTGGGTATTAGGATTCAAACCCAGGCCTTCTGCAAGAACAGCCAGTGTTCTTAACTACTGAGCCATCTCTTCAGCCCAAGAGAATTCTTTTGAGTGGTTTCGAAATGCAGTGATTATGACTGTTCATTCTGCTTTAAAAATATTTACTATTTGCAAATGATGACTGGATTAGTTTCAGAATAACACAGGTATGTCAAAAACCACAAAGGGTATTGACAAGACAAGACTGTGTGAGAGCTGATTGTTGTTAAAGCTAGGTAAGGAGTCCTTATGATATACTGTATTATTCTTTTTAATTTTATGTATGTCTGAATTAGTTAGCTTGGAATTTTTTGCTGTTTAAGTGTTGGCATGTTTCTTAAAATTTCCTATCTCAGATGAATTAGTGTTTATGATGAAATTCACCATCATAAGATACTTGTTATCATCAATTTTCTTTCTAGTAGAGGAAGGAATCATTAAGAATGAGATGATAGAAAGCTCTCCATTCCTGACAGCACCATACATTTAATATGGAAAGTTACTTAACAAAACAAAGACTGAATTTATTCTTGGCATAGTGACCATAAATAGACACTAGGAATTTTTAAAACTAATTTAGATCGGATCAAGTATTACTTCTTCTGACTCCAAATAAATAAGGCACTACAAGCATATACTACAAATGAACAGCTCAGTTCACAGAGGGAGAAACCTAATGCCACTCACCTAGCTGTCTCTTCAAACAGAATATCATCCATTGAGGCTGTAACACAGGAAATCCCAGCATGTTTTTCAGCTTTGAAAAATAGGTAAAAGTATGTCATTTAACAGTTATGATGAAATATTTTAGCACTAGGGAAAAGGAACAAAATTGAAGTAGATTTATTTTAGTAACCTATCCCATCATTTTGTGCCCACACTTTCAGGATGATCTGTATTTGTAAGTAGACTTTTGCTCTGTAAATTACGTTTCCATTATGTGATAATTACTATATTTTTCCTGAATTTTAATTTCAGAGGTATTTCATTTGAATTTTAAAACCAATACTCATGAAATATGGCAACTATAAATAGCTGTTTTAGCAAGTTGTTGCTGACTTTAAATGTTTTGTCAGTCTTTTTGTTTCAATAAATAAACATCAAAGCTGTATCACTGACTCATCGAACTAGTAGCTGGATATATTTAATCCATGAGCATGGAGCAGTCTGAAAGCCCTTGAAATCATCTCCCTCTTCAGAGGAGAATGTCCTTGGGAATCAGAGCTTGAAATGGTTCATGGCAGGCAGGCAAACAGTGATTATCATTTATTTTTGCCAAACTGGCACCAAGTTCATCATGGGTGAAGATGTCGTAGAGGAGGAAAGAGTTGATGAGGGTGGAGAGAGGTTGAATAGGTGCTCCAGACTGACTGTGTTGCATATTTGAACTTCACTGTCCAGAACTGTTTTTGTTATTGGTTTTTGCTCAGCATAAAATTATCAGAACTTATTTTATTTGGGAAAGATTTTGATGTATAGTTCTGTCAGATTTGTTTTTCAAAGATAGTCACTTAAAATCCAGGCCAATTTTCTTTGACCTCTTTTTTTGAGTTAGACTTTATGTAGGCTGGGCTGGCCTGGAACTTACTTTGTAGCCCTGGCTGAACTCCAACTCTTGATCCTCCTGCCTTAGCTTCTTGAGTGCTGGGATTACAGGCATCACCAACTTGCCTGACTCAGTGGCTTTTTAAGAACTTTTAATCTCTTAAATTTTGAAGGCTTCACTATTAATGCACATGAAAGACTGACAGTGAATGCAGCTACATTTTTATTCCCAGTGGTGGATTACTACAGTGGGTAGTAACTGATCATCCTAGGTGAAAAGAGGTGAGAAATTAATAACTTTGGAAATCTGTGTGTGAGCAATGGCAGGGTGGGAGGACGTTTGCTAGTTATAAAGTTCACTGAAAGGAAGGGAACAAGGAAATATCAGACTCAAGGCAGACTCCGTTTAATTCAAGCAAATGTTTGTCATATTTGGCTGGTTTCCAGACACAGAGTTGAATCAGCACCATCTTTTGACCAGTCTACTCAGTGGCAGTTACAGATCCATTCTAAGTCCATGTCCTTAGAGCTGACATTTTCCAGATAACTACTCAACCTTTTCAAATGCAAGCTGTAAAACATTGACTAAAGAGTACCTAATTAACATTCGTTCCAGTTGCCTGACACGAAGGGACAGGATGGTGAATGTTAAATTATTCTTATAATAAAGTGTTATTGTGTTTACTGATGTGATTTGTCCATTTCATTGATTTAAATTATTTAAATAATTATTCAAAATTTACTGAATTTTCCAGGCATCTACTATGTTTACATAGCACTATACCAGACTGTAAGAGGGCTGCAGGGGGATCATAAGCACAGCAACAGTTACCACTTATTAAGCTTTTATCATCAGCCATTCACCAAGCTAAGTGTTTATGCGTATCAACCACATGAAGTTAGTACTGTTACTAATTCTACTTTTCAAATGAATACATTTAGTTTTAGAAACATTAATGCATTTTTCTAGTGGTTTTTGATGATAGAAGCAACTTTCAGAGCAGGAACTCTCAGAAAAAAGTTGAGCAGATCAACCAAAGAATGCTCCCAGAGTGTTTGGCTGAATGCGGATCTCAGTAGCCATTAATTCCATGTAGCCTTTCAGCAAACAATACAAAGGAAAACATAAAATATGACTGGACAGCCTGAGGCTGCTAACTTTTGCACATGATTATTCATGATTTTTTTTTTCCTTTTTACAAGCCTCTTGGTTAGATGACATGAATTCAGAAGGGCTAGATTTTTCTGGTTCTGAAGTTTTGATTGTCCTTCATACTTCCAATGAGAGTTGGAAAACAGAAATATTACTGATTTCCTAGAGAAACTTGGAAACAGATCAGCTGAGTGATTATAATCCAGTCATGCATGCCATGATTTTTGATGAAATAGTGATAACCTTTCTTCTTTCTCCTCTTCAGCTAACACTGACGGAACACCTGTGCTATACCAGGTATCTCTCTATAAGGTGCTGGAAATATAAAATAGGCATGATCCCAATACTCATGAAGTTTAGAGGAAAAGCCAGAGACTGATTAAATGGAAGCATAATAACATAATGAGTCAGATAGTCTGAAGAAAATAGGGATTTCCTGAAAGCCTGTGGCTAATGGAATAAAACAAGGTGTACGTACAGAGGATGCTTGAGCATCTCTGCAGGGTAAACAGGAGCAAGACAGATGTGGGAAGAGAGTGGGAAGAAAGCAAGCTGAGCAGTGATCCAGTCATTCTGATGAAGGCCTCTGTGGCTAAAATAGAGGGAGGATAAGGCTGGAGTGAAGGCCAGGAGCAGACTATGTGTGGGCCTTGCCGCTCTTGTTGGCCGGCTTTTAGAATCATCAGTATTAAAGATCTTCTTCACTCTCTTCTTGTCTCCCTTGTGACCAGTTAGTTGTAAACAGTACTGGACCAACCAGTTCTCTGCTGCCTTTGATGAGCTCAGTGGTAATGCCATCATTGCTCTCCTACACTGAATATAGGATTTTCTCTTGCTGCTTTCAAGATTCTTCTCTTCATTATGTTTGATTATAATATGGCTAGATGCAGTATTTTTTAAATTAATCATGTTTGGTGTACTATAGATTCTTGAATCAAATTGTATGACTTTTACCATATTTGTGGAAATTGAAGTCGTTATTCTTAATTAATTAATTTATTTATTTATTTTATGTGTATGAGCGTTTTACCTGCATGTATGTAAGTGCACCCGTGTTGTGCAATGCCTGAGGAGGTGAGAAGAGGGCATTAGATCTCCTGGAACTGGAGTTAGGGACATTTGTTAGTTGCCATGTGGGTGCTGGGAATTGAACCCGGGTCCTCTGTGAGAGCAGCCAGAGCTCTTAACAGCTGTGCCAACTCTCCAGCCCCAAGAAGTCATTATTCTTTAAATATGGATTAGTTCTTACGCTTTCTTCATTTGTGTGTGTGTGTGTGTGTGTGTGTGTGTGTGTGTGTGTGTGTTACTTTTCTGTTGTTGTGATAAACGACCATGACCAAAAGCATATAGATGATCTATCTTGGTGGGAGGCACGGCAGGAGGCAGCAGGTGCGGTGGCAGGAGTAGGAAGCACACAGATCACATCTCAAACTGTACACACAGGAAACAGAGGGAACTGAAAGTGGGCAAGACTACACACTCTCAAGGCCACCCCCAGTGACATATTTCCTACAGCAGGCCTCCACATCCTGCAAGTTCCATAGCCTCCCGAAATGGAACCATACCACCACCAAGGGACTACGTGTTCAAACACATGAGCCTGTGGGGTATATTTATTATTCAAACTACCACAGTGGTGCTGGGGATTTAATCCTGGCCTCAAGCAGGCTAGGCAAGTGCTATGCCACTGGGCCATAACTCAATTTTTTTTCTAAGATTAGACAATTTCTACTGATAATTCAAATGATGGTCACATTTGCTAACTTTTTTCTTAGCCACCTATATTCTGTAGCTAAGGCTATTCATTTTTACATTTCAGACGCTGTATTTTCTAATTATTGAATTTCCATTTGATCCTTTTAAAAATAGTTTCTATTTATCTTCTGAGATGCATTACCTTGTAATTCTTTTTTTAAATTTATTATTTTCATTTTATGTGTATGAATGTATTGTCTGCATATATGTTAGTGCACCCGTATTGTGCAATGCCACGGAAGTCAGACGAGGGCTTCGGATTCCCCACCTTGTAATTCTTTATAGCCACATTTTCCATTTCCTTCTTATAGTTATAATAGCCATTTTAAAGTCCTTAAATTTAATTCTGGTATCAAAGTCATGTACAGATTGGTCTCCATTATTTTTTAGGAATGAATCATGTTTCCCTGTTTGTTTGTATATGAGGGGTTTTTAATTGTATCTTGGTCATTGTGACAAGCCATTGTGACTAATTCATTGTTGAAATGGTGAATTCTGATTAACTCTCTTGAAAATTAGTGTGTGTGTGTGTGTGTGTGTTTGCTGGGAGATTTGGAGTCTGTTATATGTATATATCATTCAAAGTGTGCCAGATATTTGATCAAGGATTGTAAGCAAAGGACTTTGCCGCTCTAGCGTTCTCTTTCTCTTTGTAGACCAGTAGATGTGTTTTCCTTATACACAGTCCCTTGGATGTGCAAAGTAGCAAACCTATGGTTTTCTCACTAGAAATGCACCTGGGAGATAATTGGAGTACTTGTTCATTCTGAACATCATTAAACATCACCACCATCACCATTACCTGCCCACCCACAAAACCAAACAAACAATAATTTTAAAAAACCAAGAAAACTTAATCCCCTGCCATCTCTTCTTCCAATTGTTGACTCCAAGGGTTTCAAACCCACTTTTGTTCATCTTTGAGTTGCCTTAATTTAGCTTTATGTAATGCTTATTTTATTTTATTTTATTTTTTATTTTATGTGTATGCATGTATTGCCTACATGTAGGTAAATGCACCCATGTTGTGCAATGCCCACGGAGGTCAGAAGAGGCTGTCGGATCCCCTGGGACTGGAGTTACAGACAGTTGTTAGCTGCCATGTGGGTTCTGGGATTCGAACCCGGGTCTTCTGCAAGAACGACCAGTGTTCTTAACCGCTGAGCCATCTCTATAGCCCCCAAGTTTTATGTAATGTTTTATCTACTTTACAGTTGTTATCTGTGGGAGAAGGTTTTCTGGTAGGAGGTACTTTTGATCAGGCTGGCGGAAGAACCCTTTTAGCCCATTCTTCAAGAAATAAA